ACCCTAAGGACCCTTTACCATTCTCCCCCCGCCCTCCCCCAAACCTACAGGGTGCTGTTGACTTTACTACAGTTTGAATTAACTTTGGGTGTGTTCACGGAACAGGTGAGGTCTGGATCATCATGCAGAAGACCACTCTTTAGCCCAGACGAGACTAAAAGAAGCATCCTTCGACAGTTGCCTACCGCTTCCAGGAGCGCTCCCTTCTTTTCCCATTAATTCATTTGCATTCACTGCTGCTCCTGTATGCCAATTAGCTTTAATTTTTACTATACACACCGACATCAGTGGTGAATGAGAACAGCCCGTAGCGGGGTTTTTAGTGTGTCTATAAACTACAGAAAATTGTCCTTGGACAAACTCCTGCTTTTAGACTGGCTGACAACAATAGACATGGTTAAGTTCAGGCTAAGAGCCATTAAACATAATTACTACCACAGGGTAAAAGTTTAATTGTGCTAAATTTTAAATCTGCATAGTCTATGCTTATTTACAAGCTCGCTTAGGTCTTCCTGTTACATAAGGGGGAACAAATCCGTACTTAAAAATTGTTGCCTTTTAACTTCAAAGGGAAATGAAAAAAAATGGGTTTTTTAGAAGAAGCAAAACAACTCCAAACTGAAACCTTCCAGCTTCTTTTATGCCAATAGCTCCAAGTAAGTAGATGATGAGCATCTTTTGATAGGTTTTTCTAATGCGCTTCAACTTTGTGTGCATGAATGTGCGAGAGAGTATTGCATCTGTTAGGAAGGTGTCTGGGGGACAGAATGCAAATCAGTTTGTTCATGTGGGGTTATTTTAAATTTAACCACAGATGGGGCTTGGGGTGGAAGATTTTCCTCCTGCTCCTTGTCTTCTCTCCCTCCTCCAATAACGTAAACTCCCCACCTCAGAAAGTTTCAGCTCAAGTAGCTTCTGGGTAAGTAGGTATCAGAGGTGGCAGGTTTTTTATAACCAAACAAAAAAGGCAAAAGTCTGTGTTCATTTTGCTTTTTCTTCCAGCAGATTAAAAAAAAATCACGTTCACTGAGCTACAAGTTACAGCTTATTTTTAGAAGCATGGTGAATATACAGGGCTCTAAATCACTCCCTGAAAAGCAGATTAAAATTGGGAAGTGCTAGAATAAGTGTGAAACGTTCATCTGTTGGGAAAGGGAGGGTATGGAGGACTGTGAAACTTGATAGAAGAGAAAAAGATTAGCACGCTGACTAGCTGGAAGCTACGTTTATGTAGACATTAGAAGGCAACACGATTTCAGCTGGACAGAACATAAGCTTCAGATCTTATGCAAACAATCAAAGCTGTTTAACAATTGGTTTACCCCCAAAACCCCTGAAAGGAGACAGGTGAATACGATGCCAAATACATTTTTCATGTTTCTTAAGCTAACTGTTTAAATAGTTAAGTGAACATCTGTCCAAATTTCCCCATCATTTCCATTTAGAAAAGTCTCCTATTTGAAGGCTGAAGAAAAGCGCCTGCTTAACAATGCAAATGGTGCTGTCTGGGGCCCCTTTATTTTGTTTAATCTAGATTGAGCTCCACACAACTGTGATGCTAATGAATAATGGATATTTTATACTTGTGCATGTAGCAGTGCTGGGCACAGAGCAAATCTAGGATTAACCTCCCACTTTCCCTGCCTAACACGTATCGGACTCATTTTTTGAGTTTGCTGTGACTTGGGTACTCTAAAAACAGATGCCTGGTTTTACGGAAAATGGCAAAACCCCGGCAAAAGCTGTCAGGTTTTGCTCTGCCCAAGTGAGGTGCCGTGGAAGGGAGCAGCTACGTCGGGGGAGGGAGGAAGGGGTGTCTCTATTAATGGCTTGATTTGCGAGCGGGTACTGAATGAGAGCCAGGGCGTCTCAGGGTGGAGACCTGTTCGCTTTTCAGTGCCGCATTTTTTCAGTCCTGTCTGCTGGCGTTAGGCAGCCAAGCACCGCGCTCAGCTGCCTCCCCTGCCTGCCTGCCTGCGGGAGCAGGGGCAAGCCAGAGTCAGCTTGCAGGGAGAAAGGGGCTGCCCCGTTACCGATTCTATGGTCCGAGTTTGCCAGTGCGAACTACATAGCTGGGATTTTACTCTGCCTTCCAGCCCTGGTATGATGGATCATATCGTATGGGGGGAAGAAACTTTGGTACTCCATTGCGATTTTTCTGTCGCACAAGTGTTTCCGTTGGTTTGTGTTGTTTAACTTTCAGGGAAAATGTAGTGCTGTTTCTTCATAGGAAGTCTTGGGGTTTTCCAGCCAGGCGTGATGAAAGACCACAGATACCACTTCTAATGAAAAATAAGGGTAGCCTTTTTTTATAGCTGAAGAGCAAGCTGACTCTGTAGCACGGCGCTGTGCAAGGGTGGGAGAGTTGTGTGAAGGTTTCTGTAACATTGCTGGGTGTTTTAATTCACAATTACTGGCCAGTAATAATTAGTATTGATTAGCTTGGCAAATTGCAGGTTTAGAAATTGGTTATAGATTTTCCTGATGCTTCTCGTCTGCCTGTTGTGGAATCAGCCAGAACCAATGGCTTGAAACAAACCTCAAGCCCAAATCTATCTGCGGGCAGTGACGCGTTGCACGCGCAGAGCTAATGGGAGGCTCGTCGCCCCAAGAATACAATTTTTATCATCTCCTAAGCAAAGTAACTAACCACATGCGTATTGACCACAGTCTCAGGTGAAGTTTGGTTTTGTCAGCCTGTTGATTCATGGCCTGGCCGGTTCGTGTGGCTTTATCGTCGCAGTGGCATGCTGTCCCTGGCACGCACAGGGGTCTGCGGGGACATCTTGGAGAAGCGGGCCGAGGGAAGGACGCTGCAGTCTTGGTTGAGTCCCCCGGCGGGAGCTGTAACATCAGCAGACATCTGGGGAGACAGATAGCGAAAGCCAAGATGAAAACGGCAAAGCTTCCAGTGCTGAAGGGCTGTCCTCGAGGACCGAGGAGCTGAAGTGGAATGGCTGAGCAGGCTATTCGGGCTGCGGTGGAAGGGCTTAGCTGGCTCCCGGGAGGGATGTGGAGGCAGGAGGAGGGGGACACAGCCAGGGAGGAGGGCTTGCTCTCTGAGATGCCTTGCAAAATGCTGTTGTACTCATTGCAAGAGAAACTGTGCTTTTTCATTTTAAACAGCAGGTAAGTGAGCTTCTTCTTGAGCTATATTCTAGCTTTGCCTGCCAGGGTTGGCAAAGTTTGCAGGTCTTCTGCGTCTTGCTGCGAGAGGCTGCCAGCCTGTCCCCCCGTTAGGCTGCGGCCAAGCGCAGACGGGACAAGCACGCGCAGAGGACGGGCAGCTCCGAGCACCTGCCCCACCGCTGCAGAGAGGCAGATAGTTTTTGACTGAAATTTTGTGAGCCCCAAAATAGTGCTCTAAGTGTTTAATGCTTTTCTCCATTAGACAGCAAATTAGCCCTAGGCTCGCAAACCAAATGAAGTTTCATCTCGACAATCGGAGCCTGCTCACCAGGCAGTTTTAGCCCAAGTTCCTGCACACTGGTTGGTCAGCGAAATGAAGACTGCAACTTCTATTTATTGGTGCAATACAGTATTTGATACTGCTAATTACACTTAATTAGTCCTTCCACCATTTAATTAAAATGGCTTCTAATGATTGTGCTTCTTTGGCAGGCTCTTTGGTACCACCGGGAATTGTGCTGCCTGCAGTAAACTGATCCCTGCCTTTGAGATGGTGATGAGGGCCAGAGATAATGTTTACCATTTGGACTGCTTTGCCTGTCAGCTCTGCAACCAGCGGTGAGGACACGGTTATTATACACACAAACACAAACTAATTTATACCTCTGCCCGCAAAATAGGGGAAATGTTTGATCCACGCTACCTGTCTGGGGCTCACAGCCTGCTGGCGTGACTTGGGCTGGTTTATTAGGCTGACCTGGGTGATGCATGTAAGTAACTGTAGCCCCTTTACTGCAAACCCCCTTGTAGCTGGTGGGAGTTGGGGGGGTGAGGGGGGCACACAGACTGCAGATCTGGCCACGGTTGCATGCAGCACAGCTGCTGCTGAATAAAAAAAAATGCTTCAGCATCCTTTCAGGATCTGCCCTCCTTGCAGAACACAGACGATGGAGACTGGACCTCTTCTGGCAAACTGACGTTATTTTGCTTAAATCGGGTTTCTGACAGGCTCAAAACTGGGGACAGCAAAGCAGAAGGAGAAAGAGAAGGGACGGGAAGGAGAAAAATATTCTAGATAAGCCCTTTTCAACACTAGGAACAAATCCCTTTAGTTGTTGTGTAATTAATAGGGGATCTTGGTGGTGTAATTTTGAGTGGGGCTTGTGTATTTCTGCTGGGTTTTACCCAGTGAAAAATGCATGTCAAGGAGTATAATGAAGGGTCATGTGCAAAGTCTTCCCTCAGGCTACCTGTAGCTCGCTGAATTCGGGAGGGCTGTGAAAAATCTTCCCAGCACCCTGTTTGTTGGTGATTGTAGGCAGAATGGAAGCCCATGGAGCCAGACATGATACAGTGTGGCCTTCTGGTGCGTCCATCCATCCTTGTCCAAGACAGACCTGAAAATGCTTGTTGTTCTTACTGCTTTAGTGAGGCTACAGTGACTGCCCAGGGCCTGAGGGCTGCGCTGGGGTGCATGTTCTGGACTTGTGGTTGTGTTTCCCAAAGATGAAACTAGGAGACAATGCTTCAGCTCATGTGAAGGTGTGAGAGAGATAGTGATGGGAGAGAGATGACAAAACTCATGGAACCTAATTCTGTAAAGGTCAAGTTAAAAGCCTGACTTAAAAATTCATCACTCTCTTGCCCTAAAGCAAAAGTCACAGTGGGATCTCTAATGAAGTAGCCATACTCAGTGTGTGTGTGGATGCAAACCCCTGCCACCTTTCCCTCTAAACTTAGGAGACCATGTAAAATGGGGCCTGATTCTCCTTCCGTGCCCTCTGACAGTGGTTTCGTTCATGGGGATGAATGGGGTTGCAGCTGGTTGGTGCCAGAGCATGGAAGAGGAGAACCAGGCGAGCAGTCTGTAGCTCAGGTGGCTTTACTCGATCACGTTATTGAAGGCAGAGGCGGTGTTTGTTCGAGGTAGAAACCTCTCCTATTAATATTGGCAGTGTCCACAGGCACGGTGGCAGCGCCGGGGCGGCAGTGACATCTAGTGGCTCCTGGCCTTGGGCTCCTTTCCCGAAGCCACGCTAAATCTTTCGGTTGCCCGGTCTTGTTTTGCCACTCTTGAACATGCTTCTGCAACAGCCGTGATTCCCGATCAGCAGCATGTGACTGCAGAGCTAATACGTTCCCTCCCCGAGATGGTCTCTCTTCACACAGCTGACATTGCTGGTGGTTCGTGGGGTTTGTCTCCAGACTCAGAAGCGTTGCGGGGTGCTGCCAGGCTCAGCCCTCAGGCCCAGCTTTCTGCAGCCTGCCGAGGAAGGCCGGGCAGAAGAGGGGTGCTCCCAAACTCCATGCCGATACGAGGGCTAGAGCATCTCAAATGTCCCTTCTGGCAGAGGCAAGTCACAGCTCTGGGCTGCACAGGCAGGAGTGCTGAGTTGGCCTTGGAGTCTGTAGGAGGAGTATTTGTCATCAAACCCCTACTTTACCCTAGCTTCTCTCATGGAAAAGCCTAGTACCACCTAGTTTTCATTTTCAGGAATTTCTTTTAAATTTCACCCTTTATTACAAAGGCTCCAAAGCACCTTTCTCCCTCTCTTCCCTCTGCGACTGCTAACACTGTTACTGCACTCAGTGCAAAGTGCGGTCTTGCTCTGCCCTTAAAATAACCTCCATGCGCTGTCACTGCCTGGCAGGAAAGCGCAGTGATCCCCCCGTTCTGGCAGTCGCGCATTGATGCACGAGGGATTTCCCCAGTTTGGGAGGAGCTGAGTTGTTCTGAAAGATGGGCTGAGTAGGCAGCGTAGAGCTATGTGTAGATTGTTATTTTTGGCTGAGATCAGAAGGCTACAAACTTTTATGACTTATCCTCTCAAGATTTTGGCGCAAAAGGGCAGAATGGCACTGCTCCTTTAACAGATGTCATCGGAAGCTGAACTGAGAACAGTGAGTTTAAGTAACCCTAAAGTCAAAATTGCAGAGGTGGATGCCAAAACTAGTTCTGAATTGGAATCCCCACCTGAAATCCCACCTCGTTCTTCAGCTATGAAAAGATTTGATTATGAAGATCTTTCTCTAGTTCTCCTCCAGCTTGCCCTTCTATAGCTAGACTCTGTCTGTGTAGAGTGTTAAATCCATCAGGGCAAAATCTCTAATATTTTTACCAAGTGTGCAGTATTTTCATTAGCTTCATTCTCCAAAACATCAGGTTTGCAGCAAGTCCTACAAAGCTACACAGCCTACCGTGCTTTAAACTGTTATAAGGTCGACACTGCGTGTCACAATACTGAATAAAAGTTGGTCACCACTGTAACTGGCTAATAGGTCAGTATTACAAGGGCTGCAGGAAATCCAGCCGCTTGTGTTGCCATTATCTAAAATGTGGTTTTGCTTGGAAGAAAATCACTCTGTAGAAATGGCAGGGTAGGTTCAGCGCCTGTTTCTCTCTGCTGCCGGCTGGAACTCGGTCAGCCAGACGGGCTCTGCGACAGACCTGCTCCAAGCATGGGGGCTGGCAGTGGGGTCCCACGTCTCGCTCTGAAGAGAGCTGCAGGTTGGGGTGCATGAAACTGCGTCTGAAGTTGCCCTGTTAAATTCTCTGTCTCTAGTTGCGATGCATCAGCTGAAGAGATCCCAGTTTACCGCTGGGTTTGCAGGACTGGCAGGTAGAAAGAAATAGTCGCCTTTCCAGTGAATCAAGCCCTTCTCCCAGAACTTCATAGGGTCTCAGTGTACTCCTGCTGTGCATTTTAGCTCCCATGTGCTCATTCACACCCCCCAACTCCCTAGTTCTCCAGCTCCTCCTTTGGCTCCTCTAGACCCAAACCAGGTTTGGCAAGAGACAGCTGTTGGTGATGCTGGTGGCAAGAGTAATTTTTGCATTTCTCTTCCTGGAGCTTTATATTGTACTTAAGGTAGGAATAAGTAGCAGAAAGCAAGTAGCTATGTCTGTTATTTATCGTGAGTAAACCTACTGGTGGGGAAGGTGGTTTTCAGGAGAGTGTGTGCAGAACAGCTTTTAGCATAAAAGCTGTTAATTTAAATTGAGATTAATTTTTAGCTTTTTAATACACAAAAAAGGTTGAATTTCAGAACTACTAACGCACATGCTGCAGAGGGAAGAAGATGGGAACTCTCCAGTGAAATCATATGAAGTGGGAACCAATGCCCAGTTTTCTCTGTAGCAGCTTGGCAAATTAATCAGTTTGTTTGCAGGTGTCCAGTTGGAGAAAACTTGTGCCTGTGTCGGACCTATAAAGGAGCTCTAAAATGACCACTCCTGTTCCTGTAGCACAAAATGGAGTTTTATGGAGATGCTCTACCTGAAGCTGCCTGGGTTACAAATCTAGAAAGCATTTTAGACAAGGAGTAGGCAACGTTCCTGCCAAAGCCCTGCCTGGCAGCAGAGGAAATGGGCGTTTGAGATCAGCTCAGTCTCCTGCGGACCGCATCATTGCCACTACTCTTCCTTCAAAGCCCAGTAAATATTCGGCCTTGCCAGAGGATGGTACCTCCCCCTTCCTGTCGGTTCAGAGCTGCCTTTCGGCGCAGGGGCCGGGGTGACGCTCTGCTTTAGGGACCTGGGGCTGATTTAGGACGCAGCGCTTGGGGCAGGGAGGCGCAGCCGCCTCTGGTCTGTCCTGGCCCTTGGTGTGATGGACAAAACCCAGCCCCTGAACTGGGTGCAAAGAGCATTACTTGTTATCTTAAGAAGTAAAGATTAGCTTCTGATTCTTGAGCAGGTAGGCAGGGCGGAAAAGCTATTGGCTGTCAATTCACACCTCTCAGATCTTATATGTAGAACTTTTTTGACCTTAATGGTCAAATAAAATTGTTAAATATCACAAGCCTCTCTGTCAACTTCAATACAAACAGAACAATTTACATGGTATATAGAGAGCAGTGCCCTTCGCTCAATGAAGATAAAGGTTAGGAGTCCAGCCACCAGGAAATTTCTATTTATTGTTCCGCACTGTACACAAGGGGGTGAGGAAAGACTTAATAGCCAGTCCTTGCCTGGAAATTAGTGTAAATAGTGCCTCACCCGAGGGAACCGTGGAAATGTGGATACCAGCAAAAACTTCAAATAGTCTCTGTGTAATATTGCCCGTTTGATTTCCCGGCTGTAGAGCTGATACCTCTCGTCTGCAGGGACAAATCCCTTAACTGCTCGCGGCCTCCTCCGGCCGCTGGTGCGGGACCCGGCAGAGACCGGACCTGCTCCCTGAGCTGCTTTGTACAACTATGGCTGGGAGCTGAGCACCACCGTGCCAGGAAAAGAGATGGCAAAACCCCAGGGCTTGCTTGTGCGGGGAAGGGGAGCCGGGGGAGAAGGACACGGGCTTCCCGGGTCCTACACCACCGGCAGAGCTGGAAATCAAATTCTGGTCCCCAGGGTCACCTTCAGACCCAAACTCCCTCAAATTCCCCCTGTTCTAACCTCTGTTCATACTTACACCGTTAATTCTTTTTATCTTCCAGATTCTGCGTGGGAGACAAATTTTTCCTGAAGAACAACATGATCTTGTGTCAGATGGACTATGAGGAAGGGCAGCTGAACGGGAGCTTCGAGTCCCAGGTTCAATAACAAACCCTGCTTCGCTGAAGCACTGTGGGATGGGCGCTCGGCTGCGCGAGCAGCGAGGGTGACTGTCAGCTTGCCTGCAATATTTTTTTAATTCTTGGTCCAGAGAGGACTATATACATCGTAGTACTTTCCCCCCCAACACAAAGCAGTTACAATTTTAGATGTACAGTTGTGCCTGCTTAGCTGAGCACTGCATTGCCTGTATGTTTGTGAGTTTTTGGGGTCTGGGGGAGGGCTCTGTACAGTCTGTTTTCTGTATATAAACTGGAACATTTATTTTATGAAAAATGTAATGCAATTTTATTACTGGTGTGAATTAAAAATTATGAATGTTTCCTGGTCATCTGAGCTGTGGTTTGTTCCCCATGCTGTGAAAGCCTGTATTTCCTGTGCTTGATGTTGAGCAGACTATTAGAAATATATACACAGATCCCTGGAAGCTGCATGAATAAAAGCAGAGGCAGGAGTTCACACACACAAACAGGGGGAAGAAATGCTGCTGCAGAGTTAGACCTCTCTGCTTGCAGAGACTTGTGTCCAAAAACCTGCTGTGCTGGACAGCGGGAGGGAATGAGCTGTGGGCAGGTGATGGCTGGGAACCGTCAGTGTCGCTGGCCGGGTCCCACCGAGGCTGCCGTGCAGTCCTGAGTTGCTGGCTGAGCGTCGCCTTGCTTTTCATCTGTATGAATTTAGACAGAGCATTTCCGTGGCTAGGAGTGCCTGTTGGCCAACTGATACAGTGTCTCCAGTCTGGGCTGGGAGGAACAGGCTCCCTCCAGCCCTGCCAACAGGTGCCCGGGCATTGATCAGAATATTAATTTCAAGGCTTTGATAGGCAGTGGCGTTTTCCTGTGGGGCATCTCTTCTCCAGGTCTGAGCTGCTGTGAGGGCTGATGTCAGGGTTCGAACGCGACCGGGCGCTGACGCAGCATCCCTTTTCGCAGCCCTTTTTGCTTACTCTGTGCCAGGTGCTTTGACCTCCCACACAACGAAAGCGATCGGATTTGAAGCATCTCTCGTAGAAAAGCTCTGAACTGTGTTCCTGCTGCGGTGCTTTGTGCAATGATTTTCAAGGTTATGCAATTCACGTGCAACCCACTGGACTGTTCCGGACACATTTCTTTGTATGGTGAGTGTCACTTGAATACAGTGCACCAGTAGCTGTAAAGGATGGCTGCAATTCTGTTTATTTTGTCGTCTTGCTTTTTCTTAGATTTACCCCACTTTCCTCTAACAAATAGACACCGAGTACTTTTTTTCTGACGTGACTTAATCGGTTACTGGTCCTGGATGGCATGTGTGTTCTCTGAATTGCAAACACCACATGCAGTGCAGCTTGGTGCTGCTCTGCCTGTTGCATTGAAATGCTTTTATTTACATCTATGTTGAATAACGGCTAAACAGAAACAAAACACCGCTTAGTATGCTTCGAAATATTACCTGTCATCTGAAGCTACCTCAGACGTGGATTGATTGAGTGATTTTTCTTCATAAACAGATGTTTTGGGTTGGGAGAGCTATGATAAAATGTGTGGTCCCATCCCCTTTTATTCCCATAGAAATGGAATAGCAATTAAAAAGCCACCTATAGCCACCTATGGATAGGTGACATTTTAATTGCTATTCCATTTTAGTGCCATTAGGAGGGGAGGGGGTTGTCTTTGGAGAAACTGTGGAGTTGATGCTTTTTTGTAGAGGCTATTGCAGGTGGCCACACTGGGGCTACTGAAGGAGCAGCTTGTTGCCCAAACATTTTGTTTTCTTGCTTTGAAATGGGCTGCTGGGCGGTCGCTGCCTCTGCCTGTGCTCCAGAGTGATGGGTACCCGCCTGCCCGTGGGGTTTGCTGTAATTCAACACACAACGGCAGCGCGCGGGTGTTGTCCCATGGTGAGGATGGGAACAGCAAAACCGAAGCAAACCAAAACCCCTCACCGAACAAGCTGAGGGCGTTATTCAGATTTAGTTCAGATTCTTAAGGAGAGTTTTGGCACCAGTTTAAAAACCAAAAAAGTCTTTCAGCAAATGGTACTTAAACCTTCTAGAAAGCATTTTTTCTTGGCTTAGGTGGTCTCCTTGCTTCAGAAGAAAGGGAGGAAGAAAGCGTAACTTTTCCGAGCTGCTTGGCTAATGCTGGCTAATGACTCTGGCAGCTGCCAGATCTCTTGTACATCACTGGCAAAGCTGCAGAAATGCTGCTATCCCGGAGGCAGGAGCATGCTGGAGGAGAGGGTTGCTTGTGTGGGAAATCCCACTCTACCGTTGGATGAATAAAAATGGCACTTGGTTGGTATGAGCCACGTCTTGCTGCGTACGCGAGTCCCCACGCTGGCTCTGCAGGGCAGGCGTATCAGCTGGGCACGTCTGGGTGCGTCTGGGGATGGGGGGTTTGGTGGGGGTTGTTTTTTGATATGTGGCAGTGCAACAGGCTGAGTCAGCAAACCCAGCAGAAGACAGCCCAGGAACTTGGAGAAAAAAATGGGTCATGGACTGGTAAATGGGACAGAATAACCAGTAAGTTGAAACAGCTCTGGTAAGGTCTAGTCTCAGTGGCTGCCACCTGTGTGGTGCTGGCAGCATGGCGGTGTGGTGTAGAGGAAGCCTGGAGCGAAGGATGAACCACGGTTAGCGACGTGGGAGCAGGGAGCACGCAGAGGTCCAGCAGTCACAGGGGATGTTACCAGAACAGCATGGGTCTCTCCTCCTGGGGAGGTAAACGTCAGGGTGGTGTGTTGTGAGAGAGTGAACCCCCATGGAGAGCACCCCTGCCTCCAGGGCCAGGCGGGAACCGAGCCCCGCACACCCCAGCTGGAGCGCGGGGGGGCTGAGCCGGTACCGGCCGGCACGGTGAAGGCACGACTGCCCTTCCAGTCGTGCACACTAAACACAAGGTCCAGCAGTGTGCTGCTTGGATGCCAACATCTCTTCGGTTTGCTCAGCGGTCCCCGACACCGGCCAGGCTGGAGCCCTCCCTCGCTACTGCTACGGCAGCTTGGAGCCCCTCACACCTTCCCAAAACACCCTCCTGTCTGGGAGGGGGGTGACTTACACCCTGGGCAGCGACTCACATGTGATGGCACTCGGGCATCTCGGTGCCTCCCTGCACTTGCCCTTGTTGTGAAACGCAGGCAGCGCTCCCTTGCCGGGGTGCCGGGGCTTCATTTCCGAGGGGTAGCCCTCTTGATTTGTCACCGTGGCTGTAGATCCGATTCCTTACGCCTAACGCGGAATTTCACGATGCTGTTTCATGCAAAAGCCCCGGCTGGCGGCTGGGTAGGTGGGAGGAAAGCCTGGGGCAGGGCGCAGCTTCTTGCTGTTGAATGGGGTGCAGCGAATGTCCAGTTGTCTTATATTTTAAAAAAAAAATACAAGGGAGAAATCGTGCAGCATCTGTATCCCCCTTTTCTGTGTCTGTGCAGCGGACAAGGCCCACCTGCCACAGCCCATGGCCTGGAGAGCAAGTGGGATTTCTTTAAAAATAAAAATCCCAGGAGGACAATGCAATCATGAATTTTTGTCTGAACGCTGCAAATTTGCTTAATAGAAACAAGTGCAGGAGTGCAGACCTGCTGTTGAATAATCACTTCCACTCTGCGGAGCAGAGCACGGAAACCTTTTGATGGTGTTATAGTCATCAGTCGGCATAAATATTCATTCAAGGAATCAGAGCAGAGTAAATGGCATTTTAGACTCTAATCATTTAGTATTAGCAGATAGCCTTTTTACTGCTAAAGATAACCACTGCTTAATCAGTTTAGTGGCCACTGGCATACAGTATGACATTTAAGCTTGTGCCTCGGTCCCTGCGTTGAGGACGCGGCTGCCGGTGACCCCTCTGCCCAAGTCTCCATCGTTCCCGAAGTCGGCCCAGCCGCTGCCAGCTGCCAACCACACGCAACTGGCTTTAGCTTCTGAATGATCTGCCATCTGCCTCCTCAGCTGAGATCAAAGGGGTATTTTAAGTTCATACTACAAATGTCAAAATCTAGGATCTTTTCTCTTTCCTTTTTTGTAGTTGGGGCTAATGGCTGATCACAGCACAGTCTGATTTTGAGATGAAAAACAAGCCAGTATTTAAAGGCAATCAAAATCTCAAGCGTCTTCTCCATTCATCTTTAATGCTGGTGTAATTGCTGCACAGATTCTGGCTCTTCCTCCAGTCTTAATTTTTTTTTTTTTGGTGCGTGCCTCTGTCTTTCAGAGGGCTGTTACACTTCCCTGCGCAGCATTAGCACTATTGAGGACTCCGCTATCGACAATCCAGCTCGCCCGATTCCGTATCTTGCCAAACAAGTTAATCTAATATTAACAGCGGTTTGTTACCTCGCTGTTAGCTTAATTTACTTTACAAGAAATGCTATATTTGCATTTCATCCCTCTGTCATTGGCTGGCGAACCGTGCTTCCCAGCGCCAGGGAGGGATGGCTCACGCCGTTTTGCGCGAGTCTCCCAGTGTGGCGTTGCCACGTGGAGGAGGGGGCCATCGCCCCGACCAGGCATTTTCGCTAATTGGCCGGGGGGGGGACGTGGGGAGTTGGAAGGAGGATTTCGAAAGCCATAGAGCAGCTCCTGGAAATGCAATATTCAGAATAGCACAAATACCGCTGCTGCTCTTCCAGTAATATAGCTGAGTCGTAGACAGTAGTTTTCCCTGGTGGCAAACATATACAGTAAATGTCTTTAGTATGGAAATCAGCAGACATATGGGCACAGCGGCAGACGCTTGCAACACCAACAGGTTCCTCAGGCTT